AGGAATCTATTGCTACAAAGTCATGCCATTTGGCTTGAAGAACGCAGGAGCGACATACCAGAGGCTCGTCAATAAGATTTTCAAAAACCAGTTATGAGATACAATGGAGGTGTACATCGACGACATGCTAGTCAAGTTAAAGAAAGGCGATGACCACATCGGACACCTCAAGCAATCCTTCGACGTCCTAAGACAGTACGGTATGAAATTAAACCCTACTAAATGTTCTTTTGGAGTCTCTACAGGAAAAATTTTGGGGTACATCATGACCCAGAGAGGTATCGAAGCTAGTCCTGATCAAATCAAAGCCATAGTCAACATTTAATCCCCAAGGAACGTCAAGGAAACTCAAAAGCTAACAAGACGCGTCGTAACATTAAACAGGTTCATATCCAAGTCGTTCGACAAATGTCGCCAGTTCTATGACGTCCTAAGGAAGAACAAAGGATTCGAATGGACAGAAAAACATGAAAAAGCTTTGCAGGACATAAAGCAATACATGGCATCACGTTACTCCTTTCCAATCCTAAAGAACATGAGACGTTGCAATTGTACCTAGCAGTAAGCATGACGTCCGTCAGTGCAGTCCTTGCAAGGGAGGACGACAACCAACAGCTACCTGTCTACTACGCCACTAAGTCTCTGCTTGACGCAGAGACCAGGTATTCATCTCTTAAAAAATTAGTACTTACTTTAACCACAACAGTTGCGTCATTATTTTGAAACCCACCCAGTGGTGGTGCGAACTAACTTCCCCATCAAGTCTGTCTTGCGTAAACCAGAGTTAACAAGTATAATGGGAAAGTGGAGCGTCGCCTTAAGCGGGTATGACATCAAGTACTTGCTTAGGACGACAATAAAGTCGCAGGCACTGGCAGATTTTGTGGAAGATTTCAGCCCGGAGTTGGAACCACTAGCTGCTCAAGAACTAAAAGAAATAACAGTGCATGCTAAGAAGCAGTTTGGACGATGTTTTGTGATGGCTCATCGAACCAGAGAGGCGCCGAGCTAGGCGTTGTGTTAAAATCGCCACAAGGGGACATGATCGTACAATCCATCAGCTGCGCCTTTAAGGCAACAAACAACGAAGCAGAGTATGAGGCACTAATTGCAGGCATGACCGTCGCGTCAGACCTAAAAGCAACTGGTTTGAACGTGTACAGTGACTCTCTATTCATCGTCAGTCAACTGAATGGAGAATTCGCAGCCAAAGGCTACAAAATGACGGCCTACTTAGAAATTGCCAACAGGAAAGCAAAGCAATTCAACCCATTCACGATCAAGCAAGTCCCAAGAGACAAAAATACTCAAGTTGACGCCCTAGCCAACCTAGGGTCGGCACTCAGAAAGTCGCCCTTCAGCATCATCCCGTTAGTCCACCTGTAGAAACCGTCAGTCGACACATCCCAGATTCCAGACGTAATGACGATAGATGCAACCCCCAATTGGACGACTCCAATAATTAGATACTTGAAAGACAATATCTTGCAAGACAACTCAGGTATAAAGCGTCTAGATATACTATATTACATGACGTGCTGTTCAAATTGTCTTCCACAGGTCTTTTGCAAAGATGCCTCGTCGGCCACAAGCGACAAGAAGCTTTACAGGAGCATCACGATGGAGAATGCAGAAACCACTTTGGGGGCCGCAGCTTAGCAACCAAGCTCTTACGAATCGATTACTGGCCAACAATAATGAAAGATGCAGAAGCTTATGTGGCGAAGTGCGACAGTTGCCAACGCTACGTAGGACTAACGCACAAGCTAACAGAGATGCTACATCCTACGTTGTGCCCATGGCCCTTCATGAAATGGGGGATGGACATAGTGGGAAAGCTACTAGCTGCTCTTGGACAGAAGGTCTTCATGTTCGCACAACGGACTAAATCTCAAAATGGATCGAGGTCGACTCGTCACTGAGGTACGTGACAAAGAAGTCATTTCATTTCTATGGAATAACATAATTTGCAGGTTTGAAATCCCCTCCGAGATCGTCTGTGGCAATGGGTCACAATTCATAAGTGACAAGACAAGACGATTCTGCGAGAAATGGAATATCAAACTCTGCACGTCCACACCAAGATACCCACAAGCCAATGGCCAAGCTGAGTCAAGCAACAAGACAATCATTAAAGAAGCGGCTTAAGGCAGCCAAAGGAAAGTGGACTGAAGAACTCTCATCGGTCCTCTGGGCAAACAAGACAACTCCCAGAATGTAACACCCTAGAAATTCATTTCCTTTAAAATACCTATTTTGCTCTTTTTAAAATGCGAAATAGGAAAATCTAAGACAAAACCGCCACCGTGAAAACTGCTAAGGCAAATATCAAAGATACACAGCGGAAGACTATCTTTTAAAACTATCCAAAACAAGTCAATCTTAAAATGTAAAACCAAAAGAAAGTAAAGTCAAACCAAAATTAAACGAAGTCAAACAAAGTCAACCTACAACTTGGAACTTTTGTAGGCCTTTAAAAACCAAACAATACTGAAAACCTTTACGTTAGTCTCATAAGCATAATAAAATAAATAATATTCAAAGCAAATAAAACACATCATATTCCTATGGAAACTAAGCATGATTCGCTCTTCACTCATGCCCATCATGAAAATGCTTTATCACCTGAAAAATCTCTCTCTACTTGTCCCCACTACTCGCCATTAGAAATGGGTCATCGTAGGGCCAACATAAAGACAAGACCAAACAAACATACAACACACAATCAGCAATGCTGAGTATATAAGCGTAATAAACACCTATCATGCTTTCATCCTATTATCACACAACTTACCTTGTTGCACCTGTAAACAAGCATACAAGACATCCAACATTTAACTAGACTAATACCAATGTTCATTTAATTTGATTACGCATCGAACGGGTTTCCCCCTAACCTGCCCCAATAAAGCATACAACACACAATCAGCAATGCTGAGTATATAAGCGTAATAAAACACACTATCATGCTTTCATCCTATTATCACACAACTTACCTTGTTGCACCTATAAACAAGCATACAAGACATCCAACATTTAACTAGACTATTACCAATGTTCATTTAATTTGATTACGCATCGAACGGGTTTCCCCCTAACCTGCCCCAATAAAGGGGTACTAACACGGGAACTAATCGTGCCAGTATAAAAGAACCACTCGTAAGTGGCGGAATTCCTGTGCATAATAAAAAGGAATATACAGCGTCCTGTACTCCCACTAGAAGTTATGGTCAAATATAAAGTCGCATAACTCCCCCCATATGTTCATACTCGAGGTATATACATTCCAAGAGTTTTGGTGCGTAATCTCTTTCACTTTACGTTATTTACATATGTATTATACTTGGTGATGACTCTCAAACCATAACACAATCAAACATTATAATTCATTCAAGCAATCAAACATACCAATTTAATTCTTGAATAATTAGTGACCACATAAATTTAATGTTGAATCCTTTTTAAACTACCTCGGTGTTAAATAACACCTTAAGCGCATAAAGCACCACAAATCCTATCCCTCGGTGTTTAGAACAGCTTAAATGCGCTTAGGCATCAAAATATAATTTAATCCTCGTATACATAGACACTTAAATAGCTCCTTTCTCATGCTTATAGCATCAATAAAACTTATATGAACCATAATAATATTTCCTTTTCATATTCCAAACCAAATTAAACATTTAGTTCAATTAAACATGCCTTCCATCATGATAATAATAAAAGTGTGGTTCATATCCAACATGCCAACATATTTAATTCCAATCACCAATTCATCATAAATAATTCATACCTCACAAATCATTTACCAACATCAATCCAATCAACAAATTCCAACCAACACCTATCATGCTACTACTTGGAATTAATTTATCAAAGCCTAGCATGCTTCCACATATTCAAATAATTACCAAGTACTCGAACGTACCTTGAATATGATCTCAAAATCGCCACGACAAAATAAAATCACTCACTTGGAAATCTCCTACAAACCAAAATTACAAAGAGGCATTATTACCAATTCCACACAAATTTCCAGCAATATATACACTCCTTAAATCACTCATAAACCCTCTAAAACAAGCTAAAATTTAATATAAAACCCTTACTTTTATTCCCAATTAATGGGTAATTAAAAATCCTTTCAAGAAACATAATTACAGCTTATATATAAAAATTCCAGCTTTATTAAATCATCTAAAATTGCTGTAATTGTGTTTTAAAACACTTATTTCAATAATTTATATCACCCATAAACAATTTCCATCAATATACATAAACTTAGAAACCTAGGGTTTATAATTTGGGGCTTTTTAATTCAAAACCTAATCTAAAAATTTATATACATCATACTTAAAATCAAACATCATAAAAATCATCACAAAACCCAAAATCAATAATTAAATCAAGGCTAAAGGGGCATACAGGCTTACGTCCAAGGAAGGTAAGGTCGTTCCCCGAAGTTGGAACGCAACACATTTTAAACTTTACCACTTCAGGTAAAGATCCAAGGCACAAACGCCCGATCTTAAGTCTTAAAGTTCATTTTCAATTTAATTTTATATCTTGGACAACGAGTACTGTCTTAGGCATCGGAGGGCCGTTGGCAAAAACGCCAACGACCAAGTCCTAATGCCTGTTTTGCAGAAAACGCAAGGGCTCCAAACACTAGAATTGGACGAGACACGACAGAACGTCAGTCGCAACCCGAGACAATTCACTGCCATGGCAAAGGAATATCTCACTATCGACGTCGAGTTTGGCCAACTGACGTACGACACCAGATATTGGGGGCAATACCCATGAACAAGCACTTAAGTATTTTAAAAAAATTTTGCCTAAGAATCGAAGTTACAAGTGTATCAGCTGAAAGTACGATTCATAAAAATTCGCACTTAGAAAAAAATTTCACATTTTGTCAAAAGCTTGTACTTATCTTACTAAGGTTGTACGCATGATATCTAAAGCAATAAAACGCAAGACATTTTTTATATGCATAGCACAAAGTTCTTGCAGGATTCATAAAATAAAGACTGGCTGTCACGCTACAGCCAGCAAAAGCCACAAAATAAACAGATTGTTCAAAGTACTTAGAAAGCAAAACATAACCTGATCGTCCCACGACAATCAGTAAAGAGTACATGAAAACAGAAACAGTTCAAGACATAAGAAGATTCAACAATTCAACAAAAGGCAGAGATAACAACTGTTAAGCATCATCAGCATTAACTTCATCACCAGCAGAAGCATCAACCCTAGCAGCGACTTCAGCAACAATCTCGACAGTAGTGTCAACGGTCTTAGCACCAGGAGCTGCATCATCGACCTTCTCTTGAGAATCTGATGTGGAGTTGACATCCTCTTCAGGAGCCTCGACATCATAAGCTAAATCAGCCTCAGTGCCAAGAGATGCTAGAAAGATGTCCACCTCCTTCCGAGCATCCTTAGTGGTCAAACGACCGTCAAGGAAACGCTTCAACAGTTTGGCACAAGCAGTCAGTTGGTCGAGACACTTAGAATTCTGCGCATCTTCACGAACTTCAGCCAAGGATGCCTCTAGTTCAGAGACCTGTTTGCCTTTCTCCTCCAGCGAAGCATTCAGCCCAGAAACCTGCTTCTCCCTCTCTCCCAAAGACTTCTTCAGCTTGGTCGCCTCCCCTTCGGCAACGCGAAGTTGATGCCTAATAGTACCAACAGTAGCGCGAAGCCCGTTCACCTCTTTCTCACTAGAGATGAAGTGTCCACGTACAACCAACATATCTTGCAAAGCCTGCAAAACAGAGACAATCAAAAAAATCGCGCGACAAAGCACCAAGTAGTCAAAAATCAAAGCAACGCAGAGAAGATGTTACATTAAGTTAGAGTGACACTGCCTTACTAACAATGCTAGCAGGGGTCATCTTCTCCAAACACTTCTCCGCACCAGGAAACAACAACCTCTCAGCGGCAGGCTAGAGGGAAGATGACATAGCAGCGCCTGAGAGAAAATCAGTAGGCACCTTCACCACGTAATCAGCGTCCTTAGAAGCTTTGGGTGGAATTTCCTTGCCACAAGGGGAGCTACGTATTTGAAGGGGCCTAATATACAACACCCTAACCTCCTCCTCTTCAGAAGAAGACTGTTTCTTCTTCTTGGACGCGCGTGCCACCATTTCTTCAAAGGACATCACTGTCCTCTTAGTCTTACCAGATTGTGTCTCTAAGAAGAGAGGTGCAAGTCAAGGCTAAATGCAACACAAACAAAGTAAAAGTAAGGCGCGATCGACTTACCAGATGCCATCTCCTGCTCGTCGCCTTCTTCTTCTTCGACCCCCTTAACTATGACAGGGCGCACAAATGTCCGATCCTCTTTAACGATGCTTAGCACAACCTCCACTTTGCACAGACTTCTTCTCCTAAGAGTCCCGACAACTACGTCAATTTCTGCAACAAAGCAAGCCATAAGAACACACGTTAACAAACCAAATTAAAGAAGCGACGAGAGATATAAGGAATACCTCCGTCGCGCCAACCACAACGCATCCAGCTAGCTTCTTCTCCCAAAGATTCCTTGTCAGTAAACAAGTAACGTGACTTCCAACCGTGATTATACACCTTCCCAGCTCTCTCCACCAAAGCAGGATTACCCCTCTTCAGTACTAAGGTACACCTATTCTTCTTAGTGATTTGCTATTTATAGGCATGAACTAGATCTGACAGGTCGAAAGATTCGCTCCAATCTTTAGTCACCTTTTGGATGATGTGAGTTATCCTCCAAAATTGAGGCTCACCTGTCATGGACTTCCAAGACTCCCATCAAGGTTCGCGACAAGGAACCAAAGTGAAAGTCGTACCCCAATTTAAAAGGGTACTCGTACATTACAATGTGTCCTGAAAGGGAAATCTTCCGGCCTCTTTGTCTTGGAAGGAACCTGCACTACTGTACACTCTGACATCCCCGCCAAGGCAACAGAGGATGCCACATCTTCCTCCACAAAATCACTAGGAGGATCATCATTGTCCGCCATATCACCAACAACTTTACTCTCACCTCTTTCCAAAACCCTAAACGAAAATCTAGTTCTTTGAGATAAATTCGACTTGCTAGGCATAAGCTGGCTACAAAGAGAAAAGAAATTGAAGGCAAGAGTAAGAATTACCTGTCAAAGTCGGTTGGAATCCGCAAGCTTGAAGCACCGAAGAAATTCAAGAAATCAATTTGGGGATTTTTTTTGGAAAGAGAAAATTTCAAGAAAATTGGAAGTGTGTAGAAGTGGGAAAAAGGCACGGTTATTTATGCAGAAGGTGGGTGAGGTTATGGCAGTTGGATTCAAATTTTTAGCGGGGTAATGGGAAGTTAGAAGTGTTCCCTTGAGTTACCCACGATCAAGTCAACAATTATGGGCAAATTGTTATGGTCAATTTTTAGGCTTAGGTCGCCGAACGTCCTAGCCTTAGGTCGCCCTTAGGCGAAATTTGACATAAACAGTTACGTGTATCATTTTCCTTAAAGAGTACGAGTATTACCCAACTAGGGGTGTACACCGGTCCAAAACCGGACCGGACCTGGACCGGACCTGTTTGGACCGGGGACCTGAATTGGGTAATTATGAGGACCGGGGACCGGACCTGAATTAACAGGTCCGGTTCCGGGCCAGACCTGAAAAATCAGGTTCGGTCCGGGTTTGGACCTGAATGGACCTGTTTTGTGTCTTTTTCGTTTTTTTTTTAATACAAAACCTGTTGGACCTGCATATGGACCTGTTTTGTGATTTTTAGACCTGTTGCATAATTTAATAATTACATACAAACCAAAATTATCAATTACAAAACTACATAAAGTCTATAAAGTCCCGATTCTCAAACACCAAAAATACAAATGAGTCCACCGAAAATACAAATAAGTCCACGAAAACTCAGTTTCAATTTTTCAGAGTTTGGTTTTCATTTTTTTTTTTAATTACGATTTTCCCGGGTTTCAGGTCCGGACCTGAAAACCCCGGGTTTGGACCGGGTCCGGACCGGGACCGGGAACCTGGATTTTTAAGAACCGGGACCGGACTTGAATCAACAGGTCCGGGTCAGGTCCGGTCCGGTTCAGATCCGGTTTCAGGTCCGGGCCAATTTTTGTACACCCCTGTACCCAACCACACAATTCCACTACATGAAAATACAAAATCAAGCGCTAAAAAAAGTGATTCTATAGTAGCCTAACAAAAATCCCAATCAAATCAATAATTACAAACCACGTATGTACTATTCTCGAGGAATCCTATTCAAAAACAGTTTCATCAACCGGGAAAAACTCTTTTCAGTTTTACACCCTTTTTTCACCGGAAAATTCGCTCCGTTTCTCGCCGCCGGAACACCGCCGTTACGCCACCGTCTCCCCTATTTTCCTCTTCTTCTCCTTCGGTTTGTTCCTCTTCTCTAAACTTCATCTTTTCCACTTTATCAAATTTTTTCATTACACTTTATTTTTGCTGGAATTTCTGATTTACCATGTGATCAATTATGCGTAATCTTATGGATTTTAGAGTTGTCTGAAATTCTGGAATGGTGTATGTGTGTGATTGTGCATTATGGTTATTGATTGTGATTTGTGTGTTGATGATATTGGTTTTTGGATGTTGGTAACGTTATTGATTTTGAATGTTATTTGTCTGTTTTTAATATCTGTTATCAAAATTATTGGTTGAATTTGCATGTAAATATGTAATTCTTGGTAATTTTAGTGGTCCGATGAGAATGAGTGAACCTTGGATTTGGGTACCTATGTTTGAGACGGGTACGTGTACTAGTGTCTGATGCAGCTATTTTGTGAAGTTTTTTCATGATTTTGTTTTTAAAAAAATGGAGGGTTGAAGTGTCATGTACTTATACCCATGTTTGAATCGTACGTGAGGTAATGGGAAGAGTTTGAGTAACATAGGGTGAACTAGGAACGTAATTGAGCTGGATGAGTTGTTTTGGGTTGAATGTGAATTCTGATTGGGAGTTAGGTTTGGTTTTTGTTAGGCGGGTTTAGGCGAGTTAGACCTAGTCCTTGATCATTGGGAATGTCCCTTCGGTGAATTTGGTTTGTTAACCCATGATGAGAATTGATTCAGTTTACGAGAGAGGAATTGATCATTTTTATTTGGACTGTGTTATGAGTTGGGTATCTGAAAATGATGTTATGAGGGTGTTACATGATGGCTGAGTGTTTTTAATTGAGAGCATGGTGTCGTTAGGTAAATCGAGTTCTAGATGATAAAAGAGGGGTGAGGTTTGATCTCAATGGAGGATTGTTAGTCAGCTATGTATGGAACAAAGTGTTTTAGCTCCTGTGACTCTGTGAGTGATTTTCCCAATGCAATAGGTTTGTTTGAATAATACATAAAGCATTATTTTCTGGATCATTAAAGTCATATTCACATATGATGAGTGTTGATTACTTAACAAAGCTGGCATTTATGTGTTTGTGCTAAGTTTCTGTGCTTCAATTTTTAAATTTATGGTGGGCTTGTGATGAATATTTTGATGAAAACTCAATGGGGATAACACTGGTTTTTGAGGATTCCGGAGATGGTCTATGTTATAGGGAGGGAATACTTCATATTATTTATTTATATTTTTGCAACTAGTTTCATTACTTTCTTGCGTTATATGTATATGAGTTGTACATTTGGCTTGTTGGACTATTGGCTGGTTTATGTACCCCTGTATTGTATGATTCCCAATTTGGGGTTTTGTGTGTTGAATTTTTTACACAAATTTTCCAATTCCCATTTTGTGGTTGATTATTTCAACAAGGCAAGGAATTCAAAAGATGGTGTAATTCATTGGGTATAGAGAAAGGGGTAATGTTGATAGTGCATAATAAGTTTGTTAGGATTTGTTTGGAGACGAATCAAGTGAGTTTGTTAGGAAGGGGAACTGCTATGTATATAGAAGAGAAAAAGGGAGAGGTGGAATGAGGAGTATTATTTAGTGAATTTAACTTTAATTTTCTTATGGTGGGAGTGTCCAGCTGCTCAAACAACTCCCATTTGATGGTTTAATAGCTCCAAATTAATCCTCCCAAAATTTACTTCTTTGTCATTCCTGTATATCTAAATTTTTTAATTCTATAACAGATGGCTGCTGAAACTGTAAATGGGCCAACCCATTTTGAATTGAATACTGGCACTAAGATTCCATCGGTTGGTCTTGGTACCTGGAAAGCTTCTCGTGGTGAAGTTGGCCAAGCTGTTGTTCAAGCTGTTAAGGTCTGTTGGTTTTCACTCTCTTTTGTGCTGATAAAATGCATATGTTACCAGAATGCACCAGCAAATTTTTATTCATAGTTGTGATGAAATTTTCTATTTTCACCATATCTATGATACTCCTTTTTGCAGGCTGGTTATAGGCATATTGACTGTGCTGCTGTTTATGGAAATGAGCAAGAGGTAAATATTTCAATTTTTCAGTAAAAGGGTATGCTTCTTTATTTAATTTAATCTTATTCAGTTCCAGCTACACTGAACTTATATTTTTCTGGCAATCCGTAGTTCCTGAAATAGATGTGCAATTTATACCTTAGGATGTTATACTTTTATTCCTTAGTAAGTATATAGCATTTTTGTTTTGGGCTATGACTGGCATTCGTTTTGAATAGTTGACGATTATTACTGTATAGACAAATTTGATTAAGGATGTTTTTAAAGGTAGGCAAGGCCCTAAAAGAGTTATTTGACAGTGGAGTAGTGAAACGTGAGGAACTCTGGATCACATCAAAGCTCTGGTAAGTGTTTTAACCCTGAGAACGTGAAGAAAAAGATTATTTTTCTCAAGCAGTTGTTATACTGTGATTGCCCTATTGGTATGGAAACCCTTCAGTGATTCTTGTTTGCCTATTATAAATTAATCTGGTGTGATTCTAAATCTGAATTCAATGTTACTGTTCTTGTTGTTGTTGTACACTTGCATAGTTGTATTGCTATTAATATTGCTACTGTTGTCTTTTCTGTAATGATTTATTTATTTATAGTTGCTGAAATTGGTTGATCTGGTCCGTTTAAAAAAAGATGAATCAAACATGCTTATATTTATACTGTATGCACCATGAAATTCAATTACTATATCAGCTTTCTCATGCAAAAGTTTGGCTGTTGTGGAATTCTGCAGGTGCAGTGACCATGCTCCTGAAGATGTCTCCAAGGCTTTGAGCAAGACTCTCAAGGACCTGCAGCTTGACTACATTGATTTGTATCTTGTATGCCTCACTACTCAAAATTGTGATTGAGAAATATATTGTGCTAAAAGACAAGTCATTTACCACCTACTAAACCCTTATTGTTATGTGTCTATATAGTAGGAATGTAAGGGCTTCATTTTCTAATTGAGCTTCATTAGAATTCATTTTGTTATTGGTTGATATCCAATTGTTCTTCTTGCTCATCTTGCAATTATGGCGATTTGAGTTAGTGCTACTGTACAATGCAGATTCACTGGCCAATTCGCACTAAACCAGGCTCGCAGGGATTTAGCGCTGATGTTTTGGTTCCTTTGTGCCTTCCTGAAACATGGGCTGCAATGGAGGGTTTATATGCTTCTGGTCAGGCACGTGCCATTGGAGTGAGCAACTTCTCCACCAAGAAGCTGGAAGATTTGCTTGGGTATGCTAAGGTTCCTCCTGCTGTGAACCAGGTTGAATGCCACCCAGTCTGGCAGCAGCCGGCCCTTCACAATCTGTGCAATTCTGCTGGTGTTCACCTGACTGTAATGTCCTCATCTTACAGCTATATTCCACATTCAAAATTATGTGTTCTAAAATTTTAGTTATTAAATTGAAATTCACTAACTCCTTTTATCCAAAGCAATCAAAGTCGACTTGAAACTTTCACACTTGATTTCTGAAACAATATATCTATTTTTTATCAACTTCAAAGTTTTGCCTAGTGCAATTCGAGCTAAGAATATTCCCAAACTGTTACCTAGAATTGAAGACTATTGTAGATCATCTGATTAATGCCACCCATACATTTTTATGGGTGTGATGAAACTTTAATTTCAAGGTAAAGTGTAATGCAAGTACGCAATAGGAATTTCAAACTATAAGATGTCAATATAATAGATTTGATAGTCATCTGATTAATTGAAGGAGCATGCTGTGAACTTGTATTTGGTTTATATTCTTAAATCAAGCTGTTTAACCCTAACTGTATTGTATTCCTAGTCTGTGAGGCTGTTTGCTTCGATCTTCCTTTACCGCTTATATGTTTGGCCGATTTGATGGAGAGAATCTAAAACATGAGTTTCTGGCAGGCCTATAGTCCGTTGGGATCTCCAGGGAACTGGATCAATGGGGATGTCTTGAAAGAACCAGTAGTGATTGAAATTGCTGAGAAGCTAAACAAAACACCTGCACAAGT